TCACTATAATTTTTCAAAAAAACCTATTAATTGATTTAAAATTTTACAGGTAGGTTTTTAATAGTAAATGGTTTAAATGTTAGCTTCGTTTAAGTATATAGCCTATTCATCCTTAACGATTATTGGGTTGAGCTTAAATAAATTCTGTGGACATCTGGCGAATCTGTGAATATCGAATGGTCTGATACTCCTACGAAACCCATCTGAGAACATGTCTCGCACGTGTTGCTGGCATGATTATAAGAAAAACACACGGTGGTAACTTTCAGCAAATAAATTCGGGAGATAAACGTGCTGGAAATACTCGGAAGCGTCGAATTGCTTTTTACCGAAACTTTCTATTAAAAAGGATTCTAATTTATTGTACGGGTTTGTGGAATTGAAGTTTGCACGAATCTGGGTTTCCTACTACTACGTCTTACAGTAAATCTGCGAGTGTTTATTTAATTATGTTCTGAAAAGACTGGTTCTGTATGTCTACTTACACGTGTCAGATCTGCTTTTTAATGCACAGCAACGCTAATGCAAATATCAATATGTATGTCGATCAATACTGCTTTTTAGTCGAACGTTTCGGACAACTTTTTCGCTAAGGAAAATGTTGTTTAAAATTATGCAACCTCCCATTTCAATATTTTACACTAGTTTCGAAACATCCTGCATAGCCTGACAAATGTTAAAAGATTCTTCGTTATATATTTATTACTCGTATATTTTACCATAAAAGGGATTATAATTTTATAATAGGAAGTCTTATATTATGAAAAATATTGAATGACTCATTCCGTAAGCCATAGTTACTAATCCCCAGAGAAAGCCCCATTTCGATTCGCTGTCAAACGCCTGGACGTCGTTTTATCGCATGACTGCCGGCAGCTTCTCATTTCAATTGAATAATAATAATAAAGGAGTAAATCCGACTCGTTGCGCTTTTACGATTTTACGCCAGTCGTCTTCGTGCCGATTGGGATCGATCGATCGCATTTATCAAGCGGCCGACGAGCCGTTTGACATTTGCAAGTAAATTAAAAATACGCGTGAACCGGTCGATAGCCGTCTCTGTTCGACAGAAATATCTGAAGTTGCCCTGTCTCCTACGAACGACAAAATTAACAGTAATGGACACTATTTATAAATAAATTTCTCTGCGATCGAGTCGACATGGAAATTCCTAAATATCTGCTTTAATTATGCGCAGAGTAAAATTCATAATTTCTCTTGCCACAGTTTCTACTCTTTATTTTCTTCTACGTGTAAAATGATAGAAAAGAAAAGGTTATTTAGTAGGAATCGTTATGTGAACAGAAATTGAGTCGTTTACTGTGTTCTCACCTAACCTAACCTAACCGTGTGATTTCGGAAGAAATTTAAATGATGGCGGATAGGAGGAAATGCGCGGACGTAATATGTGGCGATTAAGAGAGGTCTTACAAAATTCCACCCTGATTGCGTTGCGTTATATGGCGATGGGAAATAAGCTCTGCCTGTCGATCCTTGGGTAGCTATTCCGTATTTAGGTAGTCCGTATTAGAGACCATCACCGTCTTTATTGCATCTCGCTTTGACAGTAACATTCAGGCAAGCACATTCTCCTTAAACACAGTTT